CAATCTGACACAGTCTGACACAGTCTGACACTATCTCCCATAGTCTGACACAGTCTGACACAGTCTGACACAATCTGACACTATCTCCCACAGTCTGACACAGTCTGAAACAGTCTGACACAATCTGACACAGTCTGACACAGTCTGACACTATCTCCCACAGTCTGACACAGTCTGAAACAGTCTGACACAATCTGACACAGTCTGACAAAGTCTGACACTATCTCCCACAGTCTGACACAGTCTGACACAGTCTGACACAGTCTGACACAATCTCCCACAGTCTGACACAATCTCCCACAGTCTGACACAATCTGAAACAGTCTGACACAATCTCCCACAGTCTGACACAATCTCCCACAGTCTGACACAATCTGAAACAGTCTGACACAGTCTGACACAATCTCCCACAATCTGACACAATCTCACACAATCTGACACAATCTCCCACAGTCTGACACAATCTGACACAATCTGACACTATCTCCCACAGTCTGACACAGTCTGACACAGTCTGACACAGTCTGACACAATCTGACACAGTCTGACACAATCTCCCACAGTCTGACACAATCTGACACAGTCTGACACAGTCTGACACAATCTCACACAATCTCCCACAGTCTGACACAATCTCCCCACAATCTGACACAATCTCCCACAGTCTGACACAATCTCCCACAGTCTGACACAATCTCCCACAATCTGACACAATCTGACACAGTCTGACACAATCTCCCACAGTCTGACACAGTCTGACACAATCTCCCACAGTCTGACACAATCTCACACAATCTGACACAATCTCACACAATCTGACACAATCTGACACAATCTCCCACAGTCTGACACAGTCTGACACAATCTGACACAGTCTGACACAGTCTGACACAGTCTGACACAATCTCCCACAGTCTGACACAATCTCACACAATCTGACACAATCTCACACAATCTGACACAGTCTGAAACAGTCTGACACAATCTGACACAGTCTGACACAGTCTGACACTATCTCCCATAGTCTGACACAGTCTGACACAGTCTGACACAATCTGACACTATCTCCCACAGTCTGACACAGTCTGACACAATCTGACACAGTCTGACACAGTCTGACACTATCTCCCACAGTCTGACACAGTCTGAAACAGTCTGACACAATCTGACACAGTCTGACACAGTCTGACACTATCTCCCACAGTCTGACACAGTCTGACACAGTCTGACACAATCTCCCACAGTCTGACACAGTCTGACACAGTCTGACACAATCTCCCACAGTCTGACACAATCTCCCACAGTCTGACACAATCTGAAACAGTCTGACACAATCTCCCACAGTCTGACACAATCTCCCACAGTCTGACACAATCTGAAACAGTCTGACACAATCTGACACTATCTCCCACAGTCTGACACAGTCTGACACAGTCTGACACAATCTCCCACAGTCTGACACAATCTGACACTATCTCCCACAATCTGACACAGTCTGACACAGTCTGACACAATCTGACACAATCTGACACAATCTGACACTATCTCCCACAATCTGACACAGTCTGACACAGTCTGACACAATCTGAAACAGGCTGACACAATCTGACACAATCTGACACTATCTCCCACAATCTGACACCGTCTGAAACAGTCTGACACAATCTCCCACAGTCTGACAAAGTCTGACACAATCTGACACAATCTGACACAATCTGACACAGTCTGACACAATCTCACACAATCTGACACAGTCTCCCACAGTCTGACACAGTCTGACACAATCTCCCACAGTCTGACACAGTCTGACACAATCTGACACAGTCTGACACAACCTCCCCACAGTCTCCCACAGTCTGACACAGTCTGACACAATCTCCCACAGTCTGACACAGTCTGACACAGTCTCCCACAGTCTGACACAGTCTGACACAGTCTGACACAGTCTCCCACAGTCTGACACAGTCTGACACAGTCTGACACAGTCTGACACAGTCTCCCACAGTCTGACACAGTCTCCCACAGTCTGACACAGTCTGACACAGTCTGACACAGTCTGACACAATCTCCCACAGTCTGACACAGTCTGACACAGTCTGACACAGTCTGACACAATCTCCCACAGTCTGACACAATCTCCCACAGTCTGACACAATCTCCCACAGTCTGACACAATCTGAAACAGTCTGACACAATCTCCCACAGTCTGACACAATCTCCCACAGTCTGACACAATCTGAAACAGTCTGACACAGTCTGACACAATCTCCCACAGTCTGACACAATCTGACACAATCTCACACAATCTGACACAATCTCCCACAGTCTGACACAATCTGACACAATCTGACACTATCTCCCACAGTCTGACACAGTCTGACACAGTCTGACACAGTCTGACACAATCTGACACAGTCTGACACAATCTCCCACAGTCTGACACAATCTGACACAGTCTGACACAGTCTGACACAATCTCCCACAGTCTGACACAGTCTGACACAATCTCCCACAGTCTGACACAACCTCACACAATCTGACACAATCTCACACAATCTGACACAATCTGACACAGTCTGACACAGTCTGACACAATCTCCCACAGTCTGACACAATCTCCCACAGTCTGACACAATCTCCCACAGTCTGACACAATCTCCCACAGTCTGACACAATCTCACACAATCTGACACAATCTGACACAGTCTGACACAATCTCCCACAGTCTGACACAGTCTGACACAATCTCCCACAGTCTGACACAATCTCACACAATCTGACACAATCTCACACAATCTGACACAATCTGACACAATCTGACACAATCTCCCACAGTCTGACACAGTCTGACACAATCTGACACAGTCTGACACAGTCTGACACAGTCTGACACAATCTCCCACAGTCTGACACAATCTCACACAATCTGACACAATCTCACACAATCTGACACAGTCTGAAACAGTCTGACACAATCTGACACAGTCTGACACAGTCTGACACTATCTCCCATAGTCTGACACAGTCTGACACAGTCTGACACAATCTGACACTATCTCCCACAGTCTGACACAGTCTGAAACAGTCTGACACAATCTGACACAGTCTGACACAGTCTGACACTATCTCCCACAGTCTGACACAGTCTGAAACAGTCTGACACAATCTGACACAGTCTGACACAGTCTGACACTATCTCCCACAGTCTGACACAGTCTGACACAGTCTGACACAATCTCCCACAGTCTGACACAGTCTGACACAGTCTGACACAGTCTGACACAATCTCCCACAGTCTGACACAATCTCCCACAGTCTGACACAATCTGAAACAGTCTGACACAATCTCCCACAGTCTGACACAATCTCCCACAGTCTGACACAATCTGAAACAGTCTGACACAATCTGACACTATCTCCCACAGTCTGACACAGTCTGACACAGTCTGACACAATCTCCCACAGTCTGACACAATCTGACACTATCTCCCACAATCTGACACAGTCTGACACAGTCTGACACAATCTGAAACAGGCTGACACAATCTGACACAATCTGACACTATCTCCCACAATCTGACACAGTCTGACACAGTCTGACACAATCTGAAACAGGCTGACACAATCTGACACAATCTGACACTATCTCCCACAATCTGACACCGTCTGAAACAGTCTGACACAATCTCCCACAGTCTGACAAAGTCTGACACAATCTGACACAATCTGACACAATCTGACACAGTCTGACACAATCTGACACAATCTGACACTATCTCCCACAGTCTGACACAGTCTGACACAATCTCACACAATCTGACACTATCTCCCACAGTCTGACACAGTCTGACACAATCTGACACAATCTGACACAGTCTGACACAATCTCCCACAGTCTGACACAATCTGACACAGTCTGACACAATCTCCCACAGTCTGACACAATCTCACACAATCTGACACAGTCTCCCACAGTCTGACACAGTCTGACACAATCTCCCACAGTCTGACACAGTCTGACACAATCTGACACAGTCTGACACAATCTCCCACAGTCTCCCACAGTCTGACACAGTCTGACACAATCTCCCACAGTCTGACACAGTCTCCCACAGTCTGACACAGTCTCCCACAGTCTGACACAGTCTGACACAGTCTGACACAGTCTCCCACAGTCTGACACAGTCTGACACAGTCTGACACAGTCTGACACAGTCTCCCACAGTCTGACACAGTCTCCCACAGTCTGACACAGTCTGACACAGTCTGACACAGTCTGACACAATCTCCCACAGTCTGACACAGTCTGACACAGTCTGACACAGTCTGACACAATCTCCCACAGTCTGACACAGTCTGACACAGTCTGACACAGTCTGACACCATCTCCACGTTCAAGTGTTCACACCCTCCTGTTCAGATCAGCCTGCTCACTGTAGAGCTCCATGTTCCCTGCTACGGTCCTTTTGTATTGTCTAAAACCTTTCTGTAGAATATTTGATCAATTGTAAGGTGTCCTTCGGTGCTTTGAAAGGCACCTCGAAATAGAATGAATTCTTATTATTAATATTATTATTTTCTGATTAGGGGAGTTCATACAAAGAAGAAATTTAGTTTTTATAATTGTATTTTCTGTGTTCAGAGGTGCCACTTCTGTGTGTTACCTGTGTGGAGGGGGGACTCAGGTGTGTTACCTGTGTGGAGGGGGGCTCAGGTGTGTTACCTGTGTGGAGGGGGGGGGTTTTGTTACCTGTGTGGAGGGGGGGGGGCTCAGGTGTGTTACCTGTGTGGAGGGGGGGGCTCAGGTGTGTTACCTGTGTGGAGGGGGGGGCTCAGGTGTGTTACCTGTGTGGAGGGGGGGGCTCAGGTGTGTTACCTGTGTGGAGGGGGGGGGCTCAGGTGTGTTACCTGTGTGGAGGGCGGGGCTCAGGTGTGTTACCTGTGAGGAGGGGGGGGCTCAGGTGTGTTACCTGTGTGGAGGGGGGACTCAGGTGTGTTACCTGTGTGGAGGGGGGGGCCGGGTCAGGACTCGCTCGCCCCCCAATCAGAGCCTCCAAGTCCAGGTTCAGGTCCTGGATCGACTCGTAGATGTGGTGCGAGTCTTCCTCCTTCACTTCCTTCTTTACTTCCTCCTTCACTTCCTTCTTTACTTCCTCTTCCTCTACCTCTTCTTCCTCTTCCTCCTCCGCCTCTTCCTCCTCCTGGTGGTGCACCTGGTGTTGGAGGGGGACGGTGGGTGTGTCCACAGGTATCGGCAGGTTCTGGTTCCTCTGCGCTGCCAGTGGGTCGGCCGGGCTGAAGCTGGGGACCCGGGTTTTGTCCCTGTTTTCGTCCAGGAAGTGCTTTTTGCTCGCCGCCTCGTCGGCCATGTTTGTAGTCCCGGTGTCTATGGGGGCCGGGGGGGGTCTCTGAGCCGGGGGGGGTCTCTGAGCCGGGGTCGGGTCCACGAAATCCAATGGGACGCCGCCAAACGTGGACATGCGGTTCTCCGTCTTACGGGACGAAGCATCGGGACGGAGACGGATCATCACCTCGTCCCCCGGCTGGTTCTTGGGGTCCTCCGGAGGCTTAGGGACAGGAACAGGAAGAGGAGCAGGAAGAGGAACTGGAGCAGGAAGAGGAACTGGAACAGCCACAGGGACAGGGACAGGAAGAGGAACAGGGACCGGCTGTGGTTCTAGTTCTGGTCCTGCGGGGGGGGAAGCTCAGCGGCAGGTCCAGCGGCAGCTCCTTCACGTACTTGGCCGGGATGTAGAAGGGTTTGGAGCTGCGGTCGCGGCGCACCTGCCACCAGTGATCGTTGGTCTTTGCCAGCAGGACGTAGCGCTCGTTGGGTTTGATGGAGACCGTGGAGCCGTCTCGACCCGGGTACTCATACTGAAACTCCACCAGGACCAGACCCAGACCTGCAGGACCAGAACAGAACCAGCAGTCCGTTAGTGGAGCAGCTTCTATACACTGGGTTCAGGCTGAAACATTCATTAAGCACTTTCTACAGAAACACCATCCAGTGTCCCAGGTGATGTCTAAAAGTCCTGGGGCCTCATTGATAAAGCCTTGCGTAGGATTCACGTGGGAAGGTTGCTTACGTAGGACAAAGCAAATAAATACGCACAGACATTTTCCGATTTATAAAACGTTGCGTATATAAATCACAATCAACTCGAAATGTACCGCAGCTTTTGCGGGCTTCACGTAACGCCCATATTTGCATATAAATAGTCAAATAAACGCCCGTATTAATATTCATTCTGACTGACTGCATGAAGAAGATCGCAGGAAATGAGGACAGAACAGCTAAAAAAGACTTTGGTTCTTTTGGGGAGGTCGAGATAAATCATATTGTTTGGTGGATGCAGTTTGAACCAGAGTAGCAGCATGGAGGTCTGATGTCGATCAGCTGGAACTCCACTGCAGCCTGTGCATTTCAACCCCCCCCGCAGCAACTCTATATCCACCAGTTAAAGGAAATACAACTAATGTGTTGTGTTATATTAGCTGCCAAATCTACCAAACATATGGTGTTCTTAGTTTCCATACCTCCTGTGTTTTACGAGCCACTTATCAAGTATTGGCAAACGGCATAAAACACGATTAAACGTGATAGTATATAAAACCATGCTCGTATCTACAACCTATAGAAATGCAAAACGGCGTCAGTTTAGACGTAATTCTGTCCTCCTGCTTACCGCATCATTTATGAGAATACATTTCTTAAACAAATAATCGTTGGTCTCACCTCTGCCGAGCAGCGAGGAGGTGGTTTCCATGGTGATGCTCCTCAGGCCCCGCCCCCCTCAGGTGGACGGGCAGGTGAGTCTGAAGGTGAGGTCAGAGGTCAGAGGTCACATGGGATCATCAGCAGCCCCCTGAAAAACAGCAGATCAATATTTAGATAATTTTATAAGAAAATACTTTCTGAGCTTTTGTCTTTACGTTAAACCTACGGTGGCCGACAGGTGCAGATATAACAACTCAAGGGTTCTCTAACGCTGTTCTGTTGGTGAGGGTTCTCTAATACTGTTCTGTTGGTGAGGGTTCTCTAATGCTGTTCTGTTGGTGAGGGTTCTCTAATACTGTTCTGTTGGTGAGGGTTCTCTAATGCTGTTCTGTTGGTGAGGGTTCTCTAACGCTGTTCTGTTGGTGAGGGTTCTCTAATGCTGTTCTGTTGGTGAGGGTTCTCTAACGCTGTTCTGTTGGTGAGGGTTCTCTAATGCTGTTCTGTTGGTGAGGGTTCTCTAATACTGTTCTGTTGGTGAGGGTTCTCTAATACTGTTCTGTTGGTGAGGGTTCTCTAACGCTGTTCTGTTGGTGAGGGTTCTCTCATACTGTTCTGTTGGTGAGGGTTCTCTCATACTGTTCTGTTGTTGAGGGTTCTCTAATACTGTTCTGTTGGTGAGGGTTCTCTCATACTGTTCTGTTGGTGAGGGTTCTCTAATACTGTTCTGTTGGTGAGGGTTCTCTAATGCTGTTCTGTTGGTGAGGGTTCTCTAACGCTGTTCTGTTGGTGAGGGTTCTCTAATGCTGTTCTGTTGGTGAGGGTTCTCTAACGCTGTTCTGTTGGTGAGGGTTCTCTAATACTATTCTGTTGGTGAGGGTTCTCTAATGCTGTTCTGTTGGTGAGGGTTCTCTAATGCTGTTCTGTTGGTGAGGGTTCTCTAATGCTGTTCTGTTGGTGAGGGTTCTCTAACGCTGTTCTGTTGGTGAGGGTTCTCTAATGCTGTTCTGTTGGTGAGGGTTCTCTAACGCTGTTCTGTTGGTGAGGGTTCTCTAATACTGTTCTGTTGGTGAGGGTTCTCTAATGCTGTTCTGTTGGTGAGGGTTCTCTAACGCTGTTCTGTTGGTGAGGGTTCTCTAATGCTGTTCTGTTGGTGAGGGTTCTCTAATACTGTTCTGTTGGTGAGGGTTCTCTAATGCTGTTCTGTTGGTGAGGGTTCTCTAATACTGTTCTGTTGGTGAGGGTTCTCTAACGCTGTTCTGTTGGTGAGGGTTCTCTCATACTGTTCTGTTGGTGAGGGTTCTCTCATACTGTTCTGTTGGTGAGGGTTCTCTAATACTGTTCTGTTGGTGAGGGTTCTCTCATACTGTTCTGTTGGTGAGGGTTCTCTAATACTGTTCTGTTGGTGAGGGTTCTCTAATGCTGTTCTGTTGGTGAGGGTTCTCTAACGCTGTTCTGTTGGTGAGGGTTCTCTAATGCTGTTCTGTTGGTGAGGGTTCTCTAACGCTGTTCTGTTGGTGAGGGTTCTCTAATACTGTTCTGTTGGTGAGGGTTCTCTAATGCTGTTCTGTTGGTGAGGGTTCTCTAACGCTGTTCTGTTGGTGAGGGTTCTCTAATGCTGTTCTGTTGGTGAGGGTTCTCTAATACTGTTCTGTTGGTGAGGGTCACCGAGTACAATTTTGAGGTACTTGTACTTTACTTGATCGAGAGGCGCTGGTCTCTTTCAAAGTAAAAGCCTCACTCTTTCAAAGTAAAAGCCTCACTCTTTCAAAGTAAAAGCTTCACTCTTTCAAAGTAAAAGCCTCACTCTTTCACAGTAAAAGCCTCACTCTTTCACAGTAAAAGCCTCACTCTTTCAAAGTAAAAGCCTCACTCTTTCACAGTAAAAGCCTCACTCTTTCAAAGTAAAAGCCTCACTCTTTCACAGTAAAAGCCTCACTCTTTCACAGTAAAAGCCTCACTCTTTCAAAGTAAAAGCTTCACTCTTTCACAGTAAAAGCCTCACTTTTTCACAGTAAAAGCCTCACTCTTTCACAGTAAAAGCCTCACTCTTTCACAGTAAAAGCCTCACTCTTTCAAAGTAAAAGCCTCACTCTTTCACAGTAAAAGCTTCACTCTTTCAAAGTAAAAGCCTCACTCTTTCACAGTAAAAGCCTCACTCTTTCAAAGTAAAAGCCTCACTCTTTCACAGTAAAAGCTTCACTCTTTCAAAGTAAAAGCCTCACTCTTTCACAGTAAAAGCTTCACTCTTTCACAGTAAAAGCCTCAGTCTTTCACAGTAAAAGCCTCACTCTTTCACAGTAAAAGCCTCACTCTTTCACAGTAAAAGCTTCACTCTTTCAAAGTAAAAGCCTCACTCTTTCAAAGTAAAAGCTTCACTCTTTCAAAGTAAAAGCCTCACTCTTTCACAGTAAAAGCTTCACTCTTTCAAAGTAAAAGCCTCACTCTTTCAAAGTAAAAGCCTCACTCTTTCACAGTAAAAGCCTCACTCTTTCAAAGTAAAAGCCTCACTCTTTCACAGTAAAAGCTTCACTCTTTCAAAGTAAAAGCCTCACTCTTTCACAGTAAAAGCCTCACTCTTTCACAGTAAAAGCCTCACTCTTTCACAGTAAAAGCCTCACTCTTTCAAAGTAAAAGCCTCACTCTTTCACAGTAAAAGCCTCACTCTTTCACAGTAAAAGCCTCACTCTTTCAAAGTAAAAGCCTCACTCTTTCAAAGTAAAAGCCTCACTCTTTCACAGTAAAAGCCTCACTCTTTCACAGTAAAAGCTTCACTCTTTCAAAGTAAAAGCCTCACTCTTTCACAGTAAAAGCCTCAGATGTTTTGCAGAGGTTCGGAGCTCGTCACTGATTCACAAGCCCCGCCCACTCTATCTGAGGGGGCGGGGCTTGGTGACGTCAGCGGCTGTCCAGGTGCAGAGCTTCCCAGTAACACCGATGCCTAAAACAATAATAAAATAATTCCTTTTCTGTAAAATAATAAAATAATAGTCTCTTGAAACAATTCAAAGCAGTTTTGCTGCTCTATGTCACACACACACACACACACACACACACACACACACACACACACACACACACACACACACACACACACACACACACACTAGTCTCAGTACTGTTTATAAAGGGAAGTCTCTGCTCTTCCTGCTGTAAGCCCCTCCCCCGCTGACATCACACCCTGTGTTTGTGTGTGTGTGTGTGTGTGTGTGTGTGTGTGTGTGTGTGTGTGTGTGTGTGTGTGTGTTTCCTGTCTCTAGAACAATAGGGTTCTGCAGCAGAGTTCTCTGCTTCATCTAAACGCTGCTCGCTATGAATCACTTAAAGGGGACCTATCATGCAAAATGCACTTGTGTACGTCTTTTCTACATGAATATGTGTCCCCGGTGTTCCAGGGAACTCACCAAGTGTCAGAAAACACAACCCTCTCTATTTTCCTCCATACCCAAATCTCTAAAAAAGGGGCTGCAACGGATCTGATAAAAACTGATCCAGATTTGAACATTTCTCTGACGTCAGGACGGTGGAGCTGACCTATCAGGGGAATGAGAGGTTGCCGTGGCATGGTAACAGCATGGTAACAGCATGGTAACAGCATGGTAACAGCATGGTAACACGACGCTCGTAACTCGGCCCCCTCCTTTGAAGGAGGGCGTGGTCAGCTGCAGCGCATGCAAAGACAGGGTGGAGGAGAGCAAAATAGAGCAAAATGAGGCATGGCTAAAATGCATGATCTGTTTGGTATTTTGAAAAAGCAAACGTATAAATATACCTTATATAGGTATGGCCCTACAATATATTATTCAAATATAGCATGATAGGTCCACTTTAAAGATACTTCATCAATTAATAAATATAATTTGTTTTTATTGATCAGGTTTAGATAAAGGTGGGGTAGGTAAGTTTGAGAAACCGGCTCGAGATACACTTGTTGTTATATTCCATGGAATGCTCTTAACATCCAGATAGCAATGAATATCTGAAGTGCTTTGACAAAAAATCCATAAATAAATATCATCTGTGGAAGCTGTAGTACTGTAAAAAGCACGACCAATCATCTGAGCCGGCCCGGCTAAAATAACTGGATGGCCTACCTGCCTGTCAGCCTTCCATCTGTGCACAAACTTATCTCGTGCCCTCATTGGTCATGTGCGCGTTCGTGTGTGTTGGAGGAGGGGCTCTGTGAGGAAGTGGCAGATTTTCTCCGGCTGTGTATTTTCAAATTCTAGCGATCTCAAGCCGGTTTCTCCAAAATTACCTACCCCACCTTTAATTGAAATGCGTTGTATCCTCATAAATATTGATTATGTGATATTAATGGTGATTATTATGGGATGGTTTTAAATGTTCACGAGCGCTCGTCTTGCAGGTAATAAGAATAAATACAATTATAGACAATCATACAAATATATTTAATGTTTAGTCGTCGTTTCGTCGAGGAACAAATGTAATGTTTAATATAATACAATATATTAAAAACTAAAGTTAAAGGTGGGGTAGGTAATTTTGGAGAAACCAGCTCGAGATCTCTAGAATTTGAAAATACACAGCCGGAAAAAATCTGCCACTTCCTCACAGAGCCCCTCCTCCAACACACACGAACCATGACCAATGAGGGCACGAGATAAGTTTGTGCACAGATGGAAGGCTGACAGGCAGGTAGGCCATCCAGTTATTTTAGCCGGGCCGGCTCAGATGATTGGTCGTGCTTTTTACAGTACTACAGCTTCCACAGATGATATTTATTTATGGATTTTTTGTCAAAGCACTTCAGATATTCATTGCTATCTGGATGTTAAGAGCATTCCATGGAATATAACAACAAGTGTATCTTGAGCCGGTTTCTCAAACTTACCTACCCCACCTTTAACTTTCAGTAATTTAACACAATTAGCTTCTTACTTTTAATGAATTGAATGTATTTGTAACAATTTTTTGTATTAATTAAAAACAGAATGAGGAACTCTGCAATAAGAAATTAAACATAGTAAAGTAATTATTATGCTTTTCATAATAACGTCTCGTCAAAACACCGAAGAGAGAAAACACGCTGCTGGCCCTTTAAGAGCAAACACCTGAGCCGCAGGTGTGTGTGTGTGTGTGTGTGTGTGTGTGTGTGTGTGTGTGTGTGTTTGTGTGTGTGTGTGTGTG